TGAACAAGATAGAGCATTACAAAAGTCTCTAGAATGATTAGTTTGTTTTTTAATGATACCAAAGTCTTCAATAAAAAAAATACTTATTCGCAACTTGTTTTATTAATGCAAGCCATAAATCTTTAAATCAGCCATAATGGAGAAAAACACTTTAACCACATAGGAAAATGACTTTGAGGAGCTAGAGTGTAGTGAAGATGATGGGTTGCCTCAATTAGAAGCCAATATAAACAGAAGACCTACATAATTTTAGGGAAAACTGTTGATTTCTTTTATATTTTCTTATTTGGTGCCACAGTTTTGACATGATAACCTTAGCAACTCGCAAGAAAGAAGAGGTGAGGAGGAAAAAAAAAAAAAAAAGAGGCTGACGCATGTTATGATGATTGCTAAGACTCAAATCTGCCATGGTAGCGAAGTAAAAGGATTCATGCAATTTAAGGTAGGGTATTATTCTCTATTTAGTTATTTGTTTCAATTTTAATGATTTTAAATTGTAAAATGGATTATTAAATAATAAGAACTATTTAAATTAAAACATTAAGAACGGTAATATGATATTTAAAAATTAGATCGGACAAATACGATATTTAGACATGGTATATATATGAAATTCTTCCTAAATTAATAAGCATTTTTTAATATATTTTAATCTTAATATACTAATAAATAATTTGGATAGGTCTGACAATCGTGTCGTGTTCAGGTTGACGGGTCGCAGGTTGACGGGTTGGCGGGTCAAAATATGTCAACCCAAACACGACCCATTTAAATATACAGGTCACGGGTTGGCGGGTCACGCGTTGGTGGGTTTGGAACATAAACCCATATATGACCCGCCAACCCATTTATTTATACGGGTTCACAGGTTGGCGGGTTTGTGGGTCAAATTTGGGTTCGTGGATCCGAATTTTAGACATTTATGTCTTAAACATCCAAATGAAAATAAAAAACATTCATTGAAACATGTCATAGACTTAGCTTTATAGGTTCCGACTTACGATACTAGACCATCCACCACAAGTTAAAATATCAAAACAGTTAAATGGTCTATGAATGAATGGTATATAGTAGTTATTAAATATTAATGGTTGATACATAAATACATTTAAAAATATAATAAAATTTTTATTAAGAATATAAACGGGTTGGCGGATCAACCCATTTATTTTTTGAGAAATACATATATGACCCGTTTAATAAACGGGTTAGCAGATTGAAAAACTTAACCCAAACCTATTAATTTCGTGTCGTGTCATGGATCATATCACGGGTCATATCAAGAATTATCAGCCTTAAATTTGAATATATAATCCGATAACATCGTGTATATTCGAATCTAATCCGATCTCAAAATATAATTGATGGAGCAAAACTTAATCGGTACGTTTTTTTACTTATAAATAAAAACCACTTCAAATTAACTTTTTTCAAATTTAATTTTATGATTCTCTTTATAAGTTTTCTAAATATATAATGTTTTTCCATGCAGTTTTTAAAGATCATTACATTATATATAATTAAAAAACAAAACCATGGATTATTCTAGTTTTGTTCTTGGTGATATTTTCAAATGAATTGGCATATGATCCTTCACTCGTTTGAATGAACCACGTTCTTATACCGAAGCCATACAATAACAATCAAGAAATAACAGCAAGAAGATGAAAACCTAATTATCTATAAAATCACAACACTATGCCTTCAAAATCTAACAAGAATCATGAAAATGGTTAATGAAGTGGAACCTACTTTACTATGTACATTTACATTCTCACGATCTCTAAAACGAGGATCGAGATTCAACGATGCATTACCAACACTGGTCCGTCTCCCACCTCCGGCGCATACAGCCGCCGGCAGATCTCATCTGCACCAGACTCCGATCATAAGCCGCTCGTTTTACCGGATCTGAAAGAGTAACATAAGCCGAATGCACTTTCATGAACTCATCTGCCGACGAGTCACAACTTCCGACATCAGGATGCAAAACCCTCGCTAATCTCCGATACGCCGCTTTCACCTCTCCACTATCAGCTCCGATTCCAACCCCCAGCAGCTCATATAGCGAGGACGGGCTACCATTACCGGAAGACCTACTTGTCTCTGTCGCCGTTGCAGTCCTCTCTGCTGTGGCGTAAACAGCGGAAATTCGAGCTCTTGTGAATCTGACAGAGGTTGCGGTTGTTTTTGAAGGTGAGTGTGAGTTGACATGGAGATTAGGGAAAGTAAAGAGGGAAGATGAAGCTGAAATCGCCATTGATGTGTGGAAAATAATGTGAGGTTTTTAATCTTTTGACGAATGTGGGATTTGGGATGGTGATTTATTAGCGGAGGTTGTGGATGAAGACGTGGCGATGAGTAGGAAACGCCGAAACGAGGATGGAAGTTATCCAAATAGTACAGTGTTGTTATCTGTTCGAATAATAATCAAAGACACAACAGTCGAAGGTGAGTCAGCAACAAATCGGCGCCAAGCTTATGGCTCCGGAGATCTTGGGATTCCGCGGACCACGTTAATTGACTCGTGCCACGCGTATTTACTTAAGCACTAGTTTTAGAAACTTTATTTATAGAAAAACATTATTATTATGTTTCGATATATTATTAGCACGAGTTTATACATTACTTATTTATTTACTTTGATATCAAACAAATCCTTAATAATAATTAAAATAACAGTTTTTTTTTTAACTAAAAGCATATTGAATGAATAAAACTAGCAAGGCTAGCAAGAAAATACTCATATAACTATGTTAAGGCTATGATGACTATTGACTACGATCAAGCACCGGGTTATTTTGCCACTCATCACGAAAAAAACACCATCACGAAGAAGACGAGTTTGTGGATCCAAGGGGTATTGTGATTGAATTTACCAAATACTTGTTGCTTCGACTGAGAATGTCTTTGATGTAGGCATGTTGTGATAGAGTAAAGCCGGCAGCATGTTGATGGATTTGTATGCCAAGAAAAAAAAAATGCAAATCACCAAGGTCCTTTTGAGAGAATACTCAATGTAAGGGTGTAATAAAACGATGAAGGTGTGCATCGTTGGTTCCTGTCACAATAAGATCATCGACATATACAAGAACATATATGGTGGATGAGGACGAATAATGAACAAATAAGGAGGTATCAGATTGGAAAGCATGAAACCCATTTGAAACTAACTACTGTTTTAACTTGGTGAACCAAGCTTGTGAAGCTTGGAGAAGACCATAAAGTGTTTTATGTAGTTGACATACATGATTCGGTTTTGTAGGATCTTCAAAAACCTTTGGTCTTTGATGAGATAATGAATCAAGCAAGATATGAGAAAAAGGGGTAGACCACATAAACACCATAAAGTGCTTTATGTAGTCGACATACTTTGATAATGAATCAATATGATACGAGAAAAATGAGGCAAAGTGGACAGTTGTACAACGTTTAATTTTTTTATTATATATTTTATATACATTTATTTAAAAATAAAAAACATATAATAGCATTAGGGATCCTTTTTCTCTGACACATCCTGAGCATTTGTGGATATTTACATCCTAAGCATCTCCAATACAGGTAATGAATTTCCTCTCTTGTTTACCTTTGTGTGAGGTATTCCAGCATATAATTCTATAGAATGAATTCATAACTAATGAATATTAGATTATTTTATTTAGTTACTAATTGATTTCTTATAAAATATTTATGTATCTATCCGAATTTTCTAAGTGATATGAAAAATTAGATTGAACTCATAGATTATGTGAAGTAATTGATATGCAAAATTCTTTATTCATTTGCTTTTTTTCCTTTGTCATTGCAAGTTTGCTAAGGCTTTCAGCAACACTTTAATCTTGCTACCTTTATATGGTTTTTTTCAATTACATGTATATTTTGTGGGTTTTTGAAAGAGTTGGTAATCAAATGTAAAAGGTACTTTGGTCCCATGAATCGATGATAATGGAAGCATCTTGTATATGCAATGATTTTTGTGGATTGATGGTGTGATTATGAATTAGCGATATAGCAAATTCGATGTTAGAACGAACTTTGTTAAACAAAATGGATTAAATCAAATACATGATGTGAAAAAAAAAAAAAAAAAAATATTGATCAAAGGGTTAAGAGTCAAGGAAGAAGTTCATACGAGGTAAGCTTATATCGGTTGCAAACGTTTAAATAGAGTTGAAAGAATTTTTTGTTTTATCTTTTATCCTAAATAAGCAAGTAGGTAAGAAGTCAAAAAAAAAATCTATTTTCACAGAAATGATTTCTTCATGTTCTTTAAAATATTATTTTTCCTTTTTGTTGTTACTAAGATTGAGTTTGTTTTCTCTATATTTTTTTTTTCAAAGTACTATAGATGATCAACTTAGTTGTAGAGTCCAACATAAGAAATTTGCCTCATTGATAGAGAAGCCCATTGGTGTAAAGAACAACTTTCGATAAATTCGAATTTCCAAATCAGATCCATGGTGACAAGATATCGAACAATTTTCTTTTTAGATGATTGGCTTTGAGCCTAGATGAAATCTCATAACATTTGAGAATCCGAATGAGGTTTTGGGCATTTTCCATGGATCAAATATTTCGTAATTTAGTCGGCAATATTATAAAAAGAAAATTCGCAGTGAAACGGATATTAAAATGTTATTATTATTATTATTATTATTATTATTATTATTATTATTATTATTATTATTATTATTTGTAATTAGAAAATGTAAACATTTTGTCAATATTAAAACTAAACATTCTAGAAACACGACTTTAAGTCGGCAGTCCTATTCACTATTCTTGATTATTATACAATTAAAATGTCATAAATAAAAAAAATCGAATCAGATTGGATTAACAATGTTTGACTTAAGATAATAATTTCATCTTGAAAATTAACAAAATATTTCAATGCTATGGGCTATGGCTTTAAAATCTAGCCAAACTATTGTAAGATTCTATATTTACAAGCTCAAGATCTCTAAAATGGCGATCGAATTTCAAGAGAGCAATTTCTACCAACACTGATCCGTCTCCCATCTTCGACTCCTATATCCGCCGGAAAAACTCACCGGAGACGAACAACCCGCGCGTCTCTGCACCAGAGTTCGATCGTAATCCGCTCGTTTCGCCGGATCTGTTAGCGTAGCATAAGCTGAATGTACTTTCATGAACTCATCAGCCGACGAGTCAATCCTTCCGACATCAGGATGCAAAACTCTCGCTAATCTCCGATACGCAGCTTTCACCTCCTGTGTATCAGCTCCGATTGGAACTCCGAGCACTTCGTACAATGAGGAAGGAGTGTTATTACGGAATGATCTAATTGTCTCCGTTTTCTCAGCGGTGGCGTAAGCAGCTGAAATCGGAGCTCTTCGGAAGTTGACGGAGTTTGAACTCGATTTTGACGATGAGTTTAAATTGAGGGAGAAATTAGGGGAAGTAAAGAAGGAAGATGCAGATGTAGTCGAAATAGCCATTGATGTGAAGAGATTGTTTGTGTTAGAGTTTTTTGGATATGGATTTTGTGTGGTGGATTTATAAGCGGAGATTTGAGGATGAATACGTGTTGGTGAGTTGGAATTGAAAATGAGAGTTATCCATTTCAACAAATAAATTAAAGGAGCCAGCGAACAATCCGTGGTCGGGGACCACAGGAATCTCCACCGGCGATCAACGGCGGATACTTTTCTCAAACGTCTAGAAGGAAGGAACAATGCTTAAAAAAAAAGAAACTTTAATTAGGTTAGGATAATTTATGTGTTTTGTCCGTAAGTTTGTCCTTTTCCGTGGAAAGTTCTTACAATGTATTTTTGTTGAGCGTGATAATTAGGTTAGGTTCGGGTTGGAGGTTGACGGGTTGATGGGTCATAATACATTGATCCAACCTAACATATATAATATATGTGTTGGTGGGGTGGCGGGTCACAGGTTGATGGATTGAAAATATCAATCCAACCCAACGCATATAACTCCTATAATTAAATGGGTTCGTGGGTTAGTGGGTCGAACCCAACCTGTATAACTCATTTAATAAGCAACACATTTTAAAATTAAATTAAAAATTACAAATAAAATGAAGTTATAAAATCATAAACAGGAGTGACAACAATGAGCGGCGTGCGACATCCGGGGGACGAAAAGACGAGTGGTGTGCATGCGATACTGCAATAGTCAGTGACTTGATGTGTCAATCGACGGAGACGGGAGACACGGCGTCGTGAGTTTGGAGACTGAAGACTGCATTACTTTTTGATTTGGGATTCTTAGGGGCTAGGGCACGCTAATTCGACTCGAAGATGTTTTACAGTTTCGGATTTCGAAAAACAATTAAACGATAATCAAATATTCAAAACCGATAAATAATTAAATATATATTTTTAAACATTTTATATATATATATATATATATATATATATATATATATATATATATATATATATATATATATATATATATATCATTTACCTATATGTGAAACCCTCTTCTGCATGATCGGGCTGTCTACATCGACAAACAGCTTCTCCACCATTGGATTCATCGGACGGTGGTTGTTGGTATGGGTGAGCAAACCCGAACCAAGAAACCGAGAAACCGACAAAAACCGACGAAACCGAAACCGAAAAAACCGAAACCGAATCAAAACCGACCGTGTGGGTTTTAAATTTGTAAAAACCGACTTTCCAGGTTTGGTTTCGGTTTTGCCCCCAGAAACCGACCCAATAACCCGAGAAACCGACCACTCTTTAAAACCGAGAAACCAACCCAGCGAACCCGCAAACCCGATGCTTTTAAGTATTATTTTATGTTTATATATATATATATATATATATATATATATATATATATATATATATATATATATATATATATATATAAGAAGCTTAGGTGTTTTTTTTATTATTTAACTAATTGTTACATTTCTGGAAAATGGGTTCAAACCCAAAACCCATGGGTTTAAACCCAGAAACCGTAAGTGTATGGGTTGAACCCAAGAAACCAAGAAACCGCCCAAACCGATATTAGAAACCGAGAAACCGAACCGACCAGAAACCGACCCTATTAGGTTCTGAAAACCAGAAACCGATCATTTACGGGTTGGGTTGGGTTGGGGTCCAAAACCGACCCAAACCGACCCATGCACAACCCTAGTTGTTGGATTAGCCTACCACACGCTTGGTGGTAAGCTGTCTGCCTGCTTCAACCTTCCTTCATCCTTACCTCATCGTGATGCTTAGGATTCCACAAACGACGTCGTTTACCGTCTGAGAGCTGGTAGCATGTATTCTTCCGGTTATCCTAACCTTATGTTGAGGCGGGATACTTGGAGGTGGGTTTTCTTTTTTGGCGGTGGTGCTTCCCTCAAAGCTACCTGCCACCTGTTGCTTGGTTTGAAGCCCCGAAAACATGCTTCGCCGCCTCTACTTCCCTTTGTCGACTCACCCTATATTAAGAGCTCCAGTCGCCACCTCATGCTGTAATTTTTCAAGGTACACCATTTATATTGATTTCAATATATACGTTTCTCCCTCTTCTCATTCTGATCCATTTTTTTGCTACCTGTATCTAGACAAAGCTTTGGGCGACTTATATCGACCTCAAATCGAAGCTATAAGATTAGGGCTTTTTGTTTTTCTATATTCGTTTGTTGAATTATAGGTCAATCTTCACACAAAGTTCGATATGTTGTGTGTGTTTTAACACCTCTCTCTCTTACCAAATCTACTTCTTAATTTCTTTATTATTTTTTGGTGGTTCTGCTTGCTATTATTATTAAAGGAGACATTCTCCGATATCAGATTATGCTATTGATTCTTTGGAAGAAACAATGTAGCACCTGGTTCCTGGTACGTATTCCTTGTAATTAATAATTCTTAAATTAATGCATTTTGCCTTGGACTCGGCGAGTTGAAGGAACAACTCGCCGAGTAGGAGCAGGATGAGATGCGGGGTCTGAGTCTCGGACTCGGCGAGTCGGTTCTCGGACTCGGAGAGTAGGCCCTGTTTGGGCAAAAACCCTAACCCGGGTGTTTGCACCCTATTTAAGCACTCTAACTCGGCCTCCCTTGTCCCTAACACTTCCATAAGAGTTGTAGAGCGAAACCCTAGCCCCTTTTTGTCCTTGTGAGTGATTTTGGCCTTACGAAGGAAGTTTGAAGCTCAAGAGAAGAAGAAGGAGGTGGAAGAGTGCAAGGAGGAGAAGTAGATCCGACATCTACCCTGCAAGAGGCTTCCATTCAGGTAGAAAAGTCCCTACCTTGATCACTAGTTCATTAGATTCCCTTTTTGTACCTAATTGATGGATTTCAATCCCTAAAACACCAAACTCCATGTATTTGTGCTCTATGATCCGAAAGGACTTCAGATCTAGGCCTTATGGACGTATTAGAAGTATAAAGTTTCTGTGGTTGAAGTGATTGAGGTCCCCATTGAGTGTATGACCTCATAAAGAGCTTGCATTTGCCTTTTGGAGCTTATAGGGCCATGCATGCACGTAAAGTTTGAAACTTTACGTGAAAAGCATGCCCTAGGAACATAGATCTATGGTTTGGAAGCGTTGCATGTCTCAGATTTAGTCTGTATGGGAAATGGGTCGAAGGGACTCGGCGAGTTCTATGAAGATGGCCTTAGACTCAGCGAGTTGGATGAACAACTCGGCGAGTCCTATGAAGATTGCCTGGTACTCAACGAGTTGTTCTTCAAACTCGGCCAGTCATATGAACTGTTACTGAGTAAGAGGGGTTTAGGTGTTGAAGGTCCAATCCTTCGTATCTGCACATGAAATTAGCAATTTAACGTATAGCAATAGTCCCAGAAACCCAAATCCTCATTAAGGATGCTCTGGTGAGGATTTGGAAGTGAGTAGGAGATATGCTCGTATGGACTCGGCGAGTCGGATCGCGAACCGGTTCTATCGTCCCAAGTAGTGAGTTACGGGTGACTCAGTGAGTGGGAAGAGGGACTTGTAGAGTAGGACCGAGTTAGTGGGAGAAGGACTCGGCGAGTCGGTGCCATGACTCGGCGAGTCCAGTCAATTGGAAGTTGACTTTGACCAAGGAGTTGACCTTGGACCAGGGGGGTCAGTATCTGACCTGAGGGTGTGTATGAGTGGCTAATCTATGTTTATGAATTATAGCCGGAGGATTACCGATTCAGCAGTCAGGCGCTTAGCAAGCAGACTTTCAGCAGCTACTTTTCGAGGTGAGTTACCTTCCGGTAGCGGTGGGTCTAAAGCCACAATGTCGGCCCATTAGTAGGAGACGGATGATAGATGATTGTATTTCTGATATCATCTAGGTTTGCTACTACCTGATATGTTATATGCTAGCATGATACGTTGTATGGGATAGTAGTAGAGTTCCATTGTTAGGACCGAAGGGTAGTCAGACACCCCAGGTACGTCTAACAGTACGTGATGATATGTTTGCATGATGGCTTGTTATGTTATATGCGATAGAGGTAGCAGGAGGGGAACAGTCCTCGAGTTCGGTTGTTAGGACCGAAGGGTAGTCAGCACCCCAGAATGGCTTGACACGGGAAGGACAGCACCCCAGAATGGCCGCATGGGTAGGTCGGCACCCCATAATGGCCGTACCGGGTAGGTCAGGCACCCCAGAAATGACTGGCAGTATGTATGTGATATGATTGTATGGTATGTTGTATGATGGAGGGACTCACTAAGCTTCGTGCTTACATTTTTCAGTTTTGGTTTCAGGTACCTCTTCAGCGAAGGGGAAGGAGCTGGCGCGATAGCGGCACATCATACACACGCATTGGATTTCCGCATTATGATATGTTTTGGGATTGTACTCTGACATTATTATTATTTTCATGCTTTGGGTTTTCAGACATGAGATATGTTTTATGAAATGATATGATCGGATGATGTTTTACTATAAGTATTTTACAAACTACTTATTTTAAATGAAATTTTTGGGCGTGAAAATTGGATCGTTACAAGTTGGTATCAGAGCCCTAGTTTGAGGAATTCGGACACACCTTTGGGAGTTTCTGAACTCAAACCGAGGGATTAAAGGATTTCGAAAAAGAAAAAGTTTTCTAAAAGATTAAGTAAAGAGTTTTAAGAAAGAACAAAGTGTGTGATGTGCGCGACCAGCCGAGCTCAAGTAAGTATTCCCCAAAGTACCCATACAATGCTATACGATGTTTATCAGTTTCAGTAGAACAACATGCTAGAATAGGACTAAGGATCTAGGAGTATGCCTTACGTGCCTGCTTTATGTGTTCCAGCCTTATGAGAATTGCATGCTAGAAATTGAGTAGACAGCAGTAGGATAGCCTGTTTTGGTTATGCCTGATAGTATGAGTTCAGCATTGTATGCTAGTTGAGTTTCTCGTTATGAGAATAGATTTTCTTGAGTAGTTCCTGTATCTGAATGCTGCTTGCCTTGTGCTTTGTGGGACTCCAAGTGATGAGAGTTAGCCATTAGGTGAATACGTCACATCGCATGGGATCAGGGTTGGATAATCTCAGAGTGTTGGATTTGGCCTTGCTGTGCAGCTCTCGTTTGAGTCCAACCATTGTAGGGACGAGACTTTTACTCGAAGGATTATCCGGGCCTCGTCACATGTGATGGTATTCAGGTGATGGCTAATTGGCATTACAAGGAGGCCTTCAGCAGCTGAGGATTGGTTTATGTGGAGTCAGAGATTTTCCTAGGGTAAGCCTAGGATAAAGATAGCAGTGATCAGTAGTGGTAAAAAGGGATTTGGTGGAGTCAAGGTAGTCCTTGAAGAAGGTATGGATAGATGTGGAAGGTAGTATGGGCCCGTACTACTGAAAGCAGAGGATCCGTACCCGAACCGAGGAAGGCCGAGATAAGACCACAGAACTTGTAGTGGATGTGATTCCTCAAGAGGTATCAATATCGCTAACAATCGTTGTTTATATATTGCAGAATGGTGGTACTATGATCGAGGCCAACAATTGGCAGTTCAGGAGAGGGATCAGGTTCCGAGCTAGGGGATTAGAGGCTACGCGAGTTCATCGCGTCAGAGATCACCAGGGGCATCCTTGATTTGACTCTCATTATCTTCAGGTCGATCAAGGAAGGGATAATTGAGTTGATGGAGGATCGCCTCAGGGCATTCAGGAGCGACATGGCATCTGGCCAATCAGGATCTCGCACATTGTCCTTTAAGGACTCCAGGGGCAGTGGTGCGCCAGATTTTCACAGGGCGAAGGACCCCATAGCTGCCAGGCTGTGGATTGCAGACATCGAGTCTGCACAGTTGACTAGCTTCTACCCCGAGGGGTCGAAGGTGAGGTTTGCAGCGGGGTGTTTACGAGACCGAGCTAGAGATTGTTGGGAGACCATCGGTGACGCATTGGGAGCCTCGGCTGTCGAGGCTATGACCTGGTCAGACTTTGTGACCAGATTTAGGGCAGAGTTTGCACTGGCTGACGAGCTTCAGCAGCTGGCCAGAGAGTTTTTAGATATGAGGAAGACGATGGAGACTGTGGCGGAGATCACCACCAAGTTCCGGGAGAGGGCTTTGTTAGTGCCCCAATATGCAGGTGATGAGGATATGAGGCGGACCCGCTACCATGACATGCTATGAGCTGACATCCGGGAGCATGTTAGTTTTTCATCTTGCCCTACCCTGGATTCCATGATTGTCAGGGCTAGGGAAAGGGAGATTGATTTGGAGCATATCCGGAAGAGGAAGGCAGAGGAGGGACAGGTTACAGGGGCTTCGGGGAAGAAGCCCAAAGGATCAGATGATAGTCCGAAATGCCGGTCAGAACCGGGCAGTTGCAGGAAATGCGTCAGGCCACATGAGGGGGCATGTAGACTGGGATCGTCGGCCTGCTACAAGTGCGGCAAGACGGGGCATTTCAGCAGGGATTGTACTGCCCCTGCACCGGTTATTCAGACGCCTGAGTTGTTGTGCTTCCACTGCAACCAGAGGGGCCACAAGAAGGCTAGTTGCCACCAGTTGACAGCAGCATCAACGCCAGTGAAGGCGCCAGCTCCAACGACCCTATGGATCACTGACGGCCGGCACAGCAAGGCAGAGGCTCCAGTGGTGAGGAGCCGGACATTCCAGTTAACTACCGAGGAGGCACGTGCCGCACCCGATGTGGTGACAGGTCTGATTCATTATTTATGCTTTTATGTTATGCTGTTGTAATGTTGATATGTTATATGTATGGGCTCTGCTTAGGATCGTTCCATGTGAACGGTATCCCAGTTCAGGTGTTGTTCGATTCGGGGGCTACCCGATCATATGTTTCTCTTGTGCTTAGCAAGAAGTTTCCTAAGTCTTCGGGAAGGTTGGATTGCCCTTTAGAGGTGGAGATTGCCAACGATCGATCAGTGCGAGCATCAAAGGTTTTCCGGGATTGTGTATTGAGATTGTTTGAGGAGCGTTATCTGGTGGATCT